ATTCGGGGCATGTCGCTAGAGGTTTCTTTGTTTGAAAGTTTCTTTTCTAATATTTCCTTTCTGGTAGAGAACACTCAAATTGATTTGCGAGGACAATTGAAATATGGACAGGAAGTTTGCCATAAAAGCAACGTAAACTTGATAAAAAGCGACTGTAGCAATGTCTTTACGACATTACCGAGAAGTACAAAAGTACTAACACGACTTGTAGTGAAACTCTTAATGCAGCAATTTTTTATCAGCCCCCGTTAAATGATTGTAACGTATATACGTAGATGTAATTCTGAATCAGCAGTAATTTTTATTGAGCAATTTCTCGAGTAAATTTTTTTTTTAATGGAAATTCAAGATTGTTTGCCGCAATTTTCGACATCTTACTGATTTATAACTCTAATAAAAGCACTCTAATTAAAACGTAAGAAACTAAAATAATTTTATAATATAAGCTTTGTTTTTTTTTAATCTCTAACAGATTAGAAGAAAGAAATTCTAAACTCTTTGACGTAGACAAGAAAAGAAAAGCTTCTACGGGTAATAACTTTCTAAATATTTTTTTTGCCTCCTGGATTGTGCCGACAGTTACTTACATAGAGATAACGGTGATTGCTCATTGAGATAGCAACAATCGCCGCTGGCAGTCGAGTAATTCGAGAAATGATGTAGCGTTAGACCAGCCTTTTATCGACGTCAAAATACATCGCGGAACTTATGCTCGTGATAGCTACAGCATCGCTAAAATATTCTTCGGGGATGAAAGCGACGTGGAGGATGTACAAGACGGGCGCGCTCTCGCAAGAAGAGAGGAAGAGAAAGAGAGAGAGAAAGAGAGATGTCATTGAGTGTTACAAGGGAAATGCGTAATGACGGACGAGCATCGAGAGACAAGCATGAACAAAGGCTTTGTACTCCATCGTCCACCCGAGTTCTTTGTCGCTACTATATGTTAAGACCGCCATGAATGGGTCTTTTATCCGTCAAGAATGTATTTAAAGTGTAATGTCATCGGCGTGTTTTCGTCATACTTTGAAAAATTATTCCGCCTCGTCTAGCGTCGCGTTCTCGTACATCATCACGGTGATGTAATAGAAAATATAAATTCTCGTATGTTGTTTTTCAGATACTTGTACTTGTACAATAGAAATGTTTTGAAAAAGAAAGAGAGATGTTTCTCCTTTAAAAAAAAAGTAGGAATATTGGAAATATTATACTCTAGTGTTATTTGTAGTATAATACAATAGTATCATATATCTTTTTAGTTAGTTAAAGTTTTGGAAATTATGATATATACCGCTTATACACGAAGATAAAATTAACAATCGTATATATCTGAAAATGTAAAAAAAAAAAAAAAAAAAACAGATCGGGTATCTCGTGAATAAATTTAATCTGACAATGAGTTCGAAAACGCATCGCGAATTCAACCCGTAAAATTCTGATGCGGGGGTTCATCGCGCCACTTGGTTGCGCTTGTACAAATAGCGCTAAAAGCATCCAGACTCATAAATTATTCGCACAAGGACGTCGCCGAAGTCGCTACCTGTTGAAGCTTCGGAGCACCAATATCCAGGTTCCTCCGAGGGTTTTTTTTAAGTCGCAGAGAAGCTGGACGATGCATATTCATTTTGGATCCATCGTTCCGTTTCTCCATCTATCAGTTTTATCTTTAATACCGAGATTACAAGCTCAGCTCAAAGATTAAAGGCTAAATTGCATAAATTTCACGCGGTGTGAAAATATAAGAGGAAAATCGATGTCTCTTACTCTTGGAATGTTTCCTATTAAATCCAGAAATATATGATAAATGTAAGTAAATAAATCAATATAATATAAATTAATCGTTTAATGACGCTAATGAAAAATATTACAAGTCTATCTGCACAAAGGAAAAAATCTGTTCTTTCCGAGACATCGCGTATATGCATATATTTTGTCTCGCTATTTGATACGTGTTATGCAGAACGTTAATGTTCCTAGATTTATGCGGAAATGTACATGCGATTCTCACAAGAAACACGGAAAAAAAATTCGTAAACAAAACATCAAGCCAAGCAACGTACATCGCGTGCTCCCCTTGTTATGTATATAATTATACGTGTGAATCCACCGCGTGGCAAGTAGCAATTTTCGTAACACGGCTTTCTGAACGTAGTGACGTAACGTTTGCCTGGCTCTTTCGTTTTGAACGTAATATCGCGCCTTGGGTGATATTTTCTGTTGCATCGTTTTCCTAGTCCTTTCCTATATACATATAGTATACAGCCAAGGAATACATTTACATCTTCAGTAAAGTTGACGCGCTCATTTGCAAATGTATAGAATCTCTCTGAGAACGTATTTAGTTGCAACAACTTGTTTTTTTTTTCTCGCAACTTTCGACTGTAACAATTTCTCATAAAAATCTTAACCGGGCTTTTAAAATAAAATCTAACGAATTGATATACATAATATGCATAAAATTATATGTGCAAAAATAATGTAGAATATTATTTCTAGATTTCGATTGTTATGCAAACAAAAATTTAGTTTGACGTTCAAGTCAGTTAAATCGAAAATACACATCGAAGACTCTCGCGTAATGTCGAAAGAGGTGTAAGCACAACTGACAGGATCTTGTTTCTCAATTAATTATACTGACCTTTTTCTCGCCAAGAATTCAATTTTATGCTTAATTAGTCAGCCACTTTACATTGTAATTGAAACATTTGGATTAAGTTTGAAAGTTGTAAATGAGCAACCCAAATAAATTTGTTTCTTATTTAGTCTCCATAAATATTTTTATTTTAATATATATATATATTTAATAATAATTTAATCTTATTATTAATTGCTGTTTAATCGTGCTAATTGCTAAACAAATTACAGCTTTTTTAGTAAACGCGATGGCAAAACTTTTTCGCTTACATTAAAAAATATTCTAATATTGTTTAATAATTAATTTAAATTATTATTTTTTAATTTAAATTATTATTGTTAATAATTAAAGTATTGTCTTTTTAATTATTTCAGTTGCTATATTAATTTTATTTACTATTTAAAATATCATTATTTATAAATGTCACCTTAATTTTTTGTAAATAACAAATTTACAAATTAAACCAATTCTTTGATGGATTATATTTTTCTGTACATTTTTCCGAAATTTCTCGTTGGAACTATTCACGTCCGTCTCAAAACATTTGCCAAACACTCAAAATTTCTAGATCGATAGGCAAATGGACGAGTAGACGGACAGACAGATAAGTTGACAGAATCGAGCGAACAGACAAAGGCTTAACTTCCGCACCGTATAAATGCATTTCATATTCGATTATTCATATCTACCTCGTTCGAGATCGAAGATACGATTATGCGAGACGTTTGCGAGCCCTGTTATATGATTTGCGAAGTTGGCACGGTGTATTTATAAAGAAAGAGAGAGGCGTTCCGCCAAGTAAAAGGGTAAAAAGTGATGCTTTTACGGGATTACAAGAGACGTACGTCGATACGATTGACGTAGTCCCGTCCAATTTTAGCATTACTAGAGAGAGAGAGAGAAAGAGAGACAAGATAGATCAACTATAGTGCGCTTTGACACGTTGCCATTAAATCGGTCGACATTCACATTTCGCGATGCAATGTCTTCTCGTGCCTGCAACGCGCGTTGCACATCTTCCTCAGATGTCAAAATTTTTACACGCACAGCTGCGACAGGGTGTAAAATTATTACATAAATCTGTGCGTGTGTTTCCGAGTTACGATCTCAGGAAGCTTACGAATTGCCTTGCTCTCTTTCCTCGCTATATTTCCTTATCTTTTTAAATGTGTAGATATGCAAATGTACGCGAATATGTTAATATACGCAGTTAATTTTTTTTTTTTTTTTTTTTTTTTTTTTTTTTTTTTTTAATTGCATTTATATTATTTTCACAAATAGAAAATTAATTATTATTACTGTCCGCTCTTTTTCTAAAACAAGGAATCCGGGCTATTATCGCACATCATCGCTATATCCGTACAAACAGCAATTTAATGTTCATCAAAGAAAATCATCATGGCTCATGTTACGAAGATTTCCATCGTAATTGCGAAATCTGAGCATTCCTTTGGGAGTAATTACGAAGAGTCGCGCGATAAATCCGTGCAGCGATGACTTCGTCGAAAACATGGTACTCCAGAGAGCGTGGAGAAAGAGGAGAAACTTTGTGCGCTCTTCTCGTGATTCACGTTGTTGCACGATAACAAGATACAAATGATCAGAGTTAAATAACAATTGTTGCAGGTCGCGTTATATAGTTATCCAATTGTTTAAAGTTTAAAGATATATCCCGGGGAACGATCTTTTCATCGCGAGAAATTTTTCCTGACAATCAACTGATATTTGCAAGGAGAAGCAAAACTTTCATCTTCTCGGAAGATGAAAGAAATCTTTCTTGAAAAAATTTTACGGTTTTTTAAACCGCACGAAAAAAAAAAACATTTTCCGAAAATATTCGCATCTTTGAAGTTTTCCTTAATATTAAACGAATTCGAGTTTCGCATACAACGTGGTTTCGAGTATAATAAAAACAAATGCGAATATTGGCGGAAATGAAAAAAAAAAACACGTGAAAAATTATTCTCATTTCATTTCTGAGAGAAAGAAAGAGAGAGAGAGAGAGAGAGAGAGAGAGAGAGAGAGTGAGCCATCGGAGCTTCGTCGAAATTCAAGAGAGGAACGGATTTCTCGTTAGCGAATACGACGTGAATCAATCAGCAAACGAGCTCGCCACTGCGCTGGTCCAGCATTGTTGGTCCAGAGCAAGAGAAAGAGAGAGAGAGAGAGAGGGGGGGGAGAGAGGGAGAGATATGATGGGGATGAGAGAGAGCCGAATAAAACGGCCGTCGCTTTTGCGGAAGCTGCGTATAATTGGGGAACCGCGAACACCCCTCCACCCCCTCGCCCCCATCCCCTCTCGCGCTTTCCCTCGATCCTTGTCGCGCTCTAATGATTGTCCAAAGTGACTATCGGATAAACGTTTCAGTGTGGGCGGGGGCGTTGAGCGCCGCGGTTTCTCGCGGTTCCGCACCCCTGGTCGTCGGCGCGTGTCGTCGTGGCAATACAAGACTTACGGCGGTGATCGGTGGCCTGGTGCTGGCTCTGGCATCCCTCTTCACCTCGTTCGCCGTCCAGATGCATCAAGTGCTCCTTAGGTGCGTAACGGCGTGCGAACGATATTCAGTTATTGAGTGCTTGAGATATGCTTGAGAATTATCGATAGATAGAGATACGAGAGAGAATGTCGATTTTCTTATCCTTAATTTTATATACATACGCGAAAGATAAATATAATATATAAGTACAATTCGCGCGTGTGTATATGTGTATTTCGTTAAAATCTATTGTTACGATAAAAACGAATGATTACATTCTTTTTTTAATTTTTCGGTCACGAATTCTATTATTAGTTTGAAAAAAAAAGAATGATGTATTTTGCACAAAACCTATATTTTTACGCAGATTTTTCGTCGAAATATAAAATATAACAGCGAAATTCTCGTGTATCGTCGAAGCTATTTTTACAGCGAAAACGAGTAATAGCGTAACTTTTCTCATGTTTAAAATTTTTTCGGAGTTCATGAATTCTATCGCCAGTTTGTGTGAAAAGAAAGGGATATTGTATTCTACAAAACCTATATTATTACACAGCAAAGATTTGAGTCGACATATTAGCCGTGAATGAGAAATGTCATTCCATACATTATATGTAAAGCAATACACAAAGCTACATTTCTGCGGTAATAGTTACTTATTCAGTTCACAGTTTTGCTTTCAAAGAGCAGCTTTCAACATGTTAACATTTAACAGCGTCCCATTTTTCATTCAGAAAAATCAGGTTAACTAAAAATAAAAGAAAAAAAAAACCAAGCTTTTTCCAAGTTTCTTTGAAACGTCAGCATCGGTGGTATAGCTTTGCTCTTTCCAATAAAAATCGTCCCACACAACTTATCCTCTCGCGCAGACTCGACGGATGTGTGTGTGTGTGTGTGTGTGTGTATAAAGTCATACGATTTACTTTTACAAAATGCAACAGTTACGGGCTGGTGCTGGGTGCGGGTGCCGGTCTCGTGAGGGAAACCGCCGGTCTGGTATTGGGCAATTACTTCAGAAAACGGCGGGAGTTCGTCGAGATGGTGGTGCAAGCTGGCACCGGCGTGGGAATAGCACTTTTCAGCGTCTTTTACAAGGAAGCCGTCGGGTGAGTTGTTACATGTTATCATGGCTTTAACATGCGGGAATATATTGTACATTAAGTAGTAAATATCCTAAGGATATCGCGCGCATCCGACATTCTGCTCTCAAGCTGAGCGGGAAAGATCCGATCGACCTTCAATCGCGTTATTTCTTCACGCGCGTGGGCACGCACGTGATGCACTTTGAATGTCGTTAATTAACAATGCCACAAAAAATTACAAAGTCTCCGGCATTATTCGTGTTTGAAGGATTTATTAGCGCAACTATCGCAAACTAGTCACAGTCATTGCACACAATCATCTTTAATTCATATCGTTAAATATATATTTTATGAAAAAGCGTAATGAGATAAAATAAATTATATATATTGTTATTGAAATAATATTTGATTATGTTTTTACATCTTTTAGCAATTCAATTTTTGATTAAACTTAAATAAGATAACGTGTATAATTTTTATCTTGATAGTTGATAGTTTTAAAGTTTGATACTCTAATCGAAAAATTATCTTCCAGATATTTTTTTTTTATTTTATATATATATGTGTATATTACAATTGTAAAAAGTTTTTAAATTTAACCTGCATGGTACATTAAAATTAAATAATACAACGAGAGTGTGTACAATTTTTATAACTCTACTAGAGTAAAATTAAGATAAAAATTGTGCACATTGTATTATTTAATTTTAATAAAAAAATTCTACTGCTGAAATATATAAAAATGTATGAAACGTTTTGATAAGTTTTACAAATATACTTTTATTTTGTTAAAAATTTAATTTGGACGTAAAATTATCAATATGTTTAATATTAAAATATTTACAAAAGATATAACACACAATAGTTATGACGAGTAAGTCTAGGATTTCTCTAAACTAAACCAGTCACATACAAATACACTGCTACTTTTTAAGGAAACGTGTAGTCAAAAACGATCTTTGAAGTGAATTTCGCTGGTAGTGGTAACGATATTTACTCGCCGAACAACAACGACTCCCAAAACAAATCGGGCACGCCGTGAAGTCGAACGGCCGCGTATAACATATAGGCAGAACGAACTGTTTTCAACGCGTACCACCCTTTTATCGTAGGTTTTCGCGCGACTGCGTGTCCCCGTAGCACCGCAATGTCCGTATACGGTTCGCGGTGCGACAGTTTCCGCGGACAAAAACAGCGAGCAGATTCGACGTGAAATAATTGAACATTCTATTCGGATTCAACTCTCTATTTTCCCTTTTGGTCTCTCTCTCTCTCTTTTTTATTTATACCTTTCACCGACGTCAGAACAATTTGTTTGATGTTTGTTACGAACGTTTGTTAGTATCGTTGATTCGTTCGCTCAGCAATTGTGTTTGACAAACTTCTATAATTTTGTATATGTATCTTTATTTTCAAATTTGCGGTAGACTCTATAAGAAAAGCTATATTTTTAATAAAACGTATGGAAAGTTATTATTTATATTTAATTTTTTTAAATCTTAACTAATATATGGTTTATATTAGAATTTTATTTAAGACAGTTTTTAAAATTAATTGAAGAACAAGGTTTTTCTCGTTATCTAGTTTCCAAAAGAGCGCCTCTAATATTATTCTTGAAACTTGATATTTTATATTAAATAGTTGAGAGAGAGAAAAAAAAGAGAATAGGAAGAGAGATGCCTTGATATTAAAACAACGTTTGTTTTTTTCTTAATTTATTTTCTCCAGTGTTTGTGTAATTAAATAAACATCAAACGGTTTTATAACGTTTTGTATAAAATGCGGGTGATTATACATATTTATTATCGCTCAGAAAACATAAAAGAAGGAAAACATAAAGACTATTATGGGAATTGAATAATATTGTAATGCGTTGTTTGAATCTTCTGTTAACAAGACAAATCACACTGTGTTTTAATCTTTGCATATGCGAACCTGCATGTAGATAAACGTCAGATCGTTGCACATGCGGGTTATTAAACGTGCGCTTAATTGCCGTTGCTATGCGGCAATTTCTGTTAGGTACAAAAGCATGATCCAATTAGAGATCGGCCTCTTCTGGACCAACGAGCATAATATCGTTGGGTTAGCGGAGTAACCCGTTAAGTCGATACAGCTTACTCAATAACCCGGCTAAGTTTCTCCAGTAGAGAGTCAACGATATCCACCGTACCAGGTTACGTGTTGTAGTATAAGAATTTACGATAGTTTCCAAATAATCAGAGCGGTATGCCGGGTATAGATGCCGGGTTGCAAGGAAAATTAAAAAAAAAAAGGAAACAATAAAATACCCACGCAATACAAAACTCTTACAAAAAGTCGGTGAAAAAAAACAACTTTATTATATCATATTTTCTTCTTATGATTTCGTATCATTTTTTTATTTTTTTTTTTTATTTACACAATGCATTAAATTTAAAAATCGTATTAGATTTTTTAATCGCCATTCAATTATATTAATTTTGAAAATTAATTAAAAAGTTTCTCTCCGAAAGGGGATAAAATACATCTAAATGTCAATAGATTATATAATTTGTGCTTTTGCAATTTTCCTTTAAGTGAAAACTTTTTGTTTTTGATAAACTGCTCGTTTGTTAATGGATTAACGTTATTGTATCGTTAGTCACGAACAATCCCCGTGTTTCATCTTGCGTGAGAATCACCGCAATGCGGATACAGTTTACCAGATGTTACGAATTTCTTCTATGATTATGGTGGTGATGTCAGATTTGTTCTTTTAAGTGGCATCTCTCCTACATTCCCGCGTTCTTCTTTTTCTTTATTTTTCTTTACAAAGAAGTAAACGGCACTTCTTTTCGAACTTGAAAAATGTAACTGCAGAGAAAATACCCATTAAAGTACATTAAAAAAGATTATTCTTAACGATCAGTTCTTGTTTGCTATTCATTAACTAAATCTATCGAATTAAATCAATATAACGAGAATATTAATACTTGACACAAATATTATTAATGAATTATATTTAATAAAACATGGAATATATTTCATATTATTTATTCACATTTTATTCAGCATTATAATTTATGTAATTTATTATGTTCACATATAAATTATATAAATGAATATAATAATAATTATTTAAATAATATGATAATCCTGTAGGGAGAGAAAGAGAGAGAGAGAGAGAGAAAGGGGAGATAGAAACAGAGAAGAAAAGAGATAAATTAATTTGAAATATATGTTCACGCTTACCATTAAAATAAGTAAAATTTATTGCCGCGAAATAAAAATATCTTATCCACGAAATACTATCTATTATATCTATAACATTAATGCAAAAATTTCGGTGGCGCCATATTTTCACACTACAATTTACACTATCGGAGAGGGAGCGAGATGTGGTAAATTTTTTATTCTTTCCCATTATACGGCGTACATACGCGCGATTGGACGCAATGTGCGTTTCACGCGCACACCAAAAAAGAAAAAAATAACGATATCGTGGACGTATATAGATATAATTCCGTGGTAACGACAAACCCGTGGGCGTCAAAACGCGCCCTCCAATTGCGTATGTGCCACGAGTCGGCTTTTTGTCGGATAATTTTCCGTTTCTCTCTCTCTCCCTTCCTCCCTTTTTCCGTCTCTCCTTCCTTCGCCCCCCCCCCCCTCCTCTCTCGCTCTCTCTTTGTCTGTCTGTCTGTCTGTCTATCTGTCTCTCTCACACAAACGTATGCCAACCAACAAGGCGGTTTGATACACGCGCTATGCGTTATCGAACCATCATCTCATCTCTGACCCGGGCGCATACGCGATAAACATTTAATGCGCGTTCCATAGGGATTCGATAGGGAGCGAATGAGGAAAGGTATACGTCTCGCACAGGTCGGGGAAAACAAATTCAACCGCTCGCGGAGATAACACGGTCGTGTCCGTGATAAAAACGTACGGGATGTGTACTATGAATAGTCATGAGCCGGGTCTCATTATCCTCACGCCGAGGGATTAAAGCGCAACTTTTGGTCCCTACTGATATGTTGAATACATTCCGAGGAAAACTTGAGGTTTTTATTTCTTTATGTGCGTATTCGCCAACATTCTCTCCTTGCGCGCAAATGAGGGGGCTTAAAAAATTGTTACAACATCTCTCACGCATTTTTTTTTCTTAAAAAAATATCCAGAAGATATAAGATGTGGTGGTGTTTGTTGAAAAATATGTATTCGCCCCGTTCTTTCATAACTAGACTACGCGAGAATTGATGATATAATTATATGAAAATTTAATTATTATATTTTTGTTTTCTAGCAGATTAATATTATTTGAGTTAAATTTCCTTTTTTAAATTTTCCTTTATTTCTTGACCTCGACTTTATAATTTGCTAGTCGACGATTCATGTTCTATTGTTCGTCTCCACGCTCAGGTAATGTTTTGAAACAGTCGTTTTGCTTAGGTTTTCATCACGGTTGTATAACGCTTTTTACTTTATTTGACTAAATATTGAAATGAAAATGAGATTTTCTCACGGAATGTTCAGATTACGCTGTGAAAATATTAAAGATCGTTTGTGAAACTTAAACCTTAAACAAGTCTAATATTTTCTTGTTAAAAGTTTTACGAAAACGAAAGAGAAACGCGGTAAGAATAAATGTTTCACTCAAATTAAACGTAATATCGCTTGATGATGCATTTGTATACACGTGAATTTCGCATAGCTGCTTATACAAAACGTAAATGCGGAAACATTGTGTTTCATAAATTGTATCGCTGTATCAGAGCGTCAAACGAAAGCCATTCCATTATACAACTTTTATTACAAATTGCGGAAGTTATGCGCGCGCGCGAATAATAATGCATAATATTTGAGCTTTAAAAAAATCTACGTAATCGTATTAAACTTTATCGATACCTTATTATCTCTTCGAACTAATTACAGAAATTTTTGCGAAGTTACTCTTTGATAAGATTGTCTCTTCTAGACGCGAGAATTCTTCACTTTTATAACAATATAACGAATTAAGCACCCGCTCTTACATTCTATGATGTAATCTATTATAACTTTCACTATTCTTTTATAGCGTCAGATATTTTTACGTTATACACTAGATAGGTACTCATAATAAATGTGTCAATGTGATTCATTATCGTTACTATAATTTAAAAAAAATTTTTTTAAATTAATTTTTAACGATATTGATAATACATGCATATAATTGTTGTTTTTATATTATACATTGAATAAATCATCAAATACTTTTTTCCAAATATTTTTCGAAATAATTCGCGAATGAGGATAAATACAACCAACTGCGACGAAGGAACGTGTCGGGAAGCGAGGGAAAATTTTCTCTCAGAAATGCAAATTCAGTGGCTTTAGCCGCGCGATATGAAACGTAACTAGGGGATGTACGGAGCGCACGAACTCCGGATGTGGCACGTAAGAAGCGCCTGCTCAGCTGCGTGATTCAACACGATCTCCGGATAGCGCGGATAGTCATAATCGCGTCTCCGTTCTTCCCAGGAAGCTGGGCTGGCGGCTGGGGCTTCAATCGGTAACGGGCGCTCTCTCGTTGGCCTTCTTTCTGGGGTTGATATACCGGAGCGCCTCGCTCTACCACCCGCAACGCCGGGCCATATTACATCTCAAGAGTCAGCGCAGCAAGCTCAAGGAGAAGAAATCCGCGAACAAGGTGCCGAAGCAGCCGCTGGTCGATCTGAGCCCTCTCGGATCGCGTCCTGTGAGGATGCTCATGCTGGCCGCCGGTGCCGCCGGTTTCGGTCTTTACACCCCCGCCTTCTACATCGTAAGTGCACTCTATCTAAAGTGCGATCGAGAGACAATCTGTTCTCTCCTTCGAGAATACCGATGATCACCGTAAAATCGCGTAATCTGATGTAGTATAAAAAGCTACGAAAATTTTCCTCGCGTAATTTATTCATTTTCTCTTCAAGATTTAAAATTAAAAAAAAATATATTTACGCGAAATCTATTAAAAAGCTACGAAAATTTTCCTCGCGTAATTTATTCATTTTCTCTTCAAGGTATAAAATTAAAAAAAAAATATATTCACGCGAAATCTACTAGATTTGATAAGGAAAGAATTTGTTAACATGCGATATCTCTACCAAAGGATTAACGACGCAGATCTTCCTCAACATCGCGCGTGTTATTTTGAAGACGATAATTGCCAGAGAGGGTAACGATAGTCGATCGAGGAGGTATTTTATGCGAACCGAACGAGAGCGTCGAGTTTCCTAATCTCGCGATCTCTCCCCCGAAGCTAATCTCGGAGAGTTGGACGAGCCAATTTCGATAATCGATATTAGACGCGCGTCATTACCGGCGGTATTGTACCGGCGTTATCGGGGCGATTCGATATAGCGCGTCTTCTCGGCGCGAGCCCTTAATGAGAAACATCGCTTACAGGCTCTGCAAGGTTTCGAGGACGGGCTGGAGGCCAGCGCTCTGGTACTGTTGCAGACCTGTCTTGGGTTGGCGGCGGCACTCGGATGCGCGGCCTGGGGGGTGGTCACCGCCAGGCCATCCGCTCAGTGCCTAGTGTCCAGGCAATATCTCTGCCAAGCGGCGCTCATCGGGGTCGGTCAGTAAACTAGTATCCGTAATCATTTTCGTTTACACGCCAACGGGTTTAACTACGAAACAAGACGACCGATCATCGCCACTGTAGATCTATCATAAGATTCTAGAACGCATCTTTTTTTTTAAATTTAGTGGAATAATTATCCTTCTTCCGTATCGTATTCTCTAGCGTCTTTATGCCTGAGCGTCAACTAAATATGCTTTAATTTTTTTTTCTAAATAAAATTTCGGAAGGAAAAAAAGATTCTAAAATTATTTGCGTGTTATCTCTAAAATATAATCTATTGAAGTTTATATTTAAATCGGGCACGAACTTATGCAATCACCTGATAGATATCTTTGCTATGAGATCTTAAATTTCTCTTGAAAATTTTTTTTAAAGCATCGTTCGCGCTATCACTGATAAGAAAAGATTGATTTTTGTCGAAGAGTCTATGCAGAACGCTTTTTATAAGGGAAGAATTATGTAGTGAAAAATACGATGCTGCAAAAATATTACGCTGCACAAATTTTGCTGCGTAAATAGAAATTGTAGATTCAAGAAACTCCGTCTTCCCCTCTCTCCCTTTCAAGGGTTATCGATCCGAATTACATTTCCTCTTTGCTTAAAGCTGTAGCTCAAGTGGCTCTTGGTAGCGTACAAGGTTATCATGGACTCGTACTGGCCTCCGGGCTTTACGGAGCCTCGCTCGGCGGCGCGCTCTACTCCCTCAAGATGTTGGCCCTCGAGAGGCTGCGGGCGAGACATTTCGCCAGATCGTGGGCCCTGGTGCAGGCCGCGGAAGCTCTGCCGATCCTTCTCGGAGTTCCTCTCACAGGTATGCAAAAATTATGAGAGCCAGTTCCCGAAGAAGCGATCTTTGAATTTTCCTTATTTATTTGAAAATCCCTACGACACTTTGCGTAGAAATCATCAACTAGCATCTCTCTTTGAGAAACGCAAGCTCCTTTCCATCTTTCTATCAGTCTCTCTTATTTGTATATTTAAAAAATCGCGAAATAAATATTTAAAAAGGTACTATTTAAAAAGGAGATTATATATATTACTTTTTATATTACTTTTTGTATATACGATTTTTTCATTCAAGTGATGACGAATATTGATGTAAGAAGGCGAAAGAGGCATTACACGTTGCTTACCGTAGCATTTCTCCATAAAGATTCTCGCCGCATCCCCCCGTTTATTTTATAAAACGTGTACAGGTACTTTTTCTTTAAATGCAAATTCTTCAAAGACCCGCAATAGTATTAGAGCTTTAAAGCACCAAGGTGGGCGAAATCCGCTTCGCTTGCTCGCTAAATCCGTTCCTATACTAATAGTCTTACGGTCCTTGTGGTTCTTGTGTATGAATTTAATGCCGACATCCTTAATAATAATGTACGGGGAATGTAATGTTGGAAAATACTGCTTCGTCTACCCGTGTCGCTGAGAGAATATTCAAGGAAACATGGCAACTGTCACGCATATTCAAGAGCTAGTACAACTGCAAATTTTGGTCACTTTGAACAGTTTAATGTAGTCGCTGGAATTTCACCGATTCGTACATTGCTTTTGTTATATTGCAGGATATTTTGAAATCCTCTGAAATATGTAAGATCTAAAAACGTAGAAAATTAAATGACAGAATTAAATTTATGTATGAGAGAAGGAAACTTTATAATCTATTATAAGTTATTTGAAATGTATAACAAGCTTTTTCGTTAATGCATTATTTTATCTCGGCTTATGTATAATATTCAACAATTATGATAACGAATAATTGGCCTTACTAATCAAGAATATTAATATTCTTTATCAATTTGAAGAATTCAGAGAAATAAAACGTGATAAATCTATAATTTGTCAAGAGATTTTTATTTTCAAAATTTTTTTCATGATTTCATATTTAAACGGATAATTTAAAAATTATATGGAATCTTATCACATCTAGAGCTTTTATTTGCAAGAATAGATTATTTTCAAAAAGTAACATTATATAACACGATAATCCCCAAAATTCAATAATCATCGTATATAAAAAAGCGAGGATGTTGAAACGACAGATCACAATCGCACCTCGCATAAATTCCCTTCGGGACTGCAAAATTATCGCGAGCCTTCTCATCCCTAATCATCTCGCCGTTTCCAGGCGCGAAAATAAATTACGTCGAATTTAATCGCACCCCGGTTTTCTCCCCCGTCTTCCCCTCTACCCCCGCTCCCGCCACCGCCCCCGCAGGTTACATGAACGCGAACAGCCCGCGGGTGGGCTACTACGCGTGCACGTTAAGTTCCTTGTGCGGCGCGGCGTTGCTCTTCCTGGTCGGCTGGGGACGGCAGCCGGCGTCACCGCTCCTGCCGGGGCCGCGACTCTCGAGCCTCGGCTTTGGGGTCGTTCCGCCGCCGCCGCCGTGCGCGTGCCCGCCGCCGCCGCGGCCCCGGCTGCCCAAGTCGCAGTCCCTCCACGTGCCGCTGGACGTCGTCGAGGACGGCATGCGCGAGCGGGACTACGTCGAGCGGATGCACGAGGCCACCGACCACTACTGTCATCCGCAATTCCACGCGCCGTTGCGGCCCAGCAAGAGCGTGCCGGAGGGCCTCGGCCATCAGGACCCGTACCGAATTCGGCCGCGACGTCACCGCGACATCACCGTCATAGAGCAGATCACCACCAGCGTGTAGGAGCGAAGTGCGTGCGATCGACAACCGCGCGCGCGAAATTAGTATTAGGCTAATTCCCGACGATGATTTTTTTTTTCTGGTATTTGCAGAATTTTTTTTTTTTTTTTTTTTTTTTTTTTTTTTTTTGATGATTCGAGAAATACGCTCTTTAGAATTTGTTATGTCATTATGGTAGCGGGTGATGCGTTCTTTTTATTGAGATCTAAATAAATTGAACGGGGAAAGAAAGAACAATATTGCATTTTCCATAACTTACATCGCTTTCATGTTGCGCTATTGTTATACTGTTTTTTTTTTAGTTTGCTCTTTTTATCCTTTACATTGCGTCGCGTAAATGTAACTTATCGGACAATTTGGGGTTGCTCCTGAGAAAAAAAAAAGATTGTGAATCATTAGTGGTAAAAGCTGGTTCCCAGATACAAGCATGAGCGGAAAGTAAAATAGTAGCTATAAGTAAAAAATAAATAAATAATTGTATTCGCGCACATCAGATATTTATGCGATCGTGGAATCAAGGAAGAATGATAGTCGAAGCTCTCTTTCTAGAGATGCATCCCTACAGTTTTTTCCTACTAATTGCTAAGATAAGATCGATTATTAAATTAAATTAGCACATAAATAAAGTTTGTATTAGTTGATATATGATAAATAGATCAAATTGATTGTATTGCGCGCGTTAGGAAGATACTCATTCGTGTTGATACGCTAGTTTGAAATATTACTGCCAGGGAAGTAATTCTGTCCGCCGAGACTAAACGTACATTCAACAGCAGGATACAGGACGGCAGGGCGGATGCAGAGAGAAATTACGGTTCTCAATTTAAAAAAAAAAGTTACTCTTTAAAAAGTCTTCAATGAAATATTATTTCTATTCCTTCTTTAAAAAAATTGAACACAGGAAAAATGTAAATGATAATTACAGAGAACTTGCGAAGAAAATAGTATCGGGAGAGAGAAAAAAAAAACGGCCTCCTTTCATTTATAAATATACTATACCGAGCTTGATCTAAAATCGTGATAAATTCTGCTTCTATTAGCGTCCACTTTGTCGTTGATCTGATCAGCTGATGCGAATAATAATTAGCGCGAGTATTATCGACGGACCGATATCTTCCCTATACAGAGTTTCGTGCGAGAAATAGCGTATTTACATATATATATATATATATATATACACATATATATGTGTATATATATGTAAATATAAATTAACCGATCAAAAGCACACGCTCATCGTTAAATTTCCTTATAGATGAAAATATATGTACAGCGCGCGGAGCTGGTCTCCGGAAGCATCGCCGTAGAGATCGTTATATATTAATAAGGATAATAATACACATCTCACACACATACATACACACACATACATACACGGACGTTTCGAACGCGAACGATCCCGAGATTAAATCTATGCAAAAGATCCGTGAGAAAGGATCGATGGATATCTATCTCGCAAAGTTGTCAATTTTTTTATTTCCTTCAATTAGACAATTGAATTTGCAATCGCGCTAAGTTCATTTATATTCCCGTCTAGACGTTTCTATCGCCTTATTCGGGATTAAGAGATGCCATTTCGAGCAGTCGTGCTTCTTATTCTATGTATTATCACGAAGTATCGGCTCTATTCCTATCAGCCTGTAAGACTAATTATAATCTCGAATCACATTAATCACGATAACGTAATTAGTACCTGAATATTAAGTGCTGTAGGTATCTAATGCAGTGAGTGACGACGTAGCGATGTCACTCACTTCGTTATTTAATTATTCCTATTTTCTCGTGTGACATACTTTGCTACCACTACACTATGTCTCGAAACATTATGCACGATACGAATTATACCATTTCCTTACGCAGTTGATGAAAATCGATAAAACGTAGAAAGTATCGCAACGGTGTTTGCGGAGATTATAAGAAAGTAGTAAGTAAAATGTAGGCAGGTTATTTAGAGATCTTTGTAGTTGAATTTGTCACGTTTTCCGATACGGTGTAATATCGGAAATATCGCATCTACTGGCAACGACAGTTGAATTTTATATATAGAGAGAGTTCGAGCGGATTATTGTTAAGGAATTCTACATATAGAATTTCCTACACAATTTAATTAAATTAATACGGCAGCGCCATATTGATTTAATCTCTGAAAAGTGGAACAATCTTCGATTCATAAGATGAGCAATTTTCAATTCGTGTCACATCTCTTGCTCGAAAAATATCAGAGAGTCAATCAGAATATGTCCTTCAGCATTTTCTTCTCAGCTGTACATTCATGTAAAAAAATTGTGATTTTTTTATAAGTTAGCTGAATCATATAAGTAAATCACTTTTAGAAAGTTAAAGCAGGGGTTCATATACGGGGTCAAGATCGAGTTCCAGTTACAATTTGTGTAATCGTTTTCCAATTAAATGAATGAGGAATAAAATCTTTTTCGACCATTTCACATCTAAATAGCTATAAATTTGTATTACGTAAAATTGTATCACTATATATATATCCAATCTAAAATAATCTAAAAATAATATTGCGCGAATAAAGACGTTATATTTCGTACGGGCTCCTTCATTGGCTCCGTAGAGTTTGTTAGAATTTCGTGTGCTCCTGCGTTGAAGCGAAAAATACTGTTTTTATATAAATTACATGTAATTAATCGGCGAGCATCGGCGAATTTGTTAGATTGTAAAAGTTGTAGTTTATAATGTTGCAGAGTCTCTCTTAGCGTTAAAAACATTTCTTTCAATCAACATATATAAGGATCAAACATATAAACGTCACCAATCTTAACGTTCGTTATGAAGACTTTTTTAATATATATATATACATATTGACTTTTGATGTGATGAATTGTTTGTATACTGCCAATTTTTATAGGATATAATCGAATATTCGATTTTCAATGGTTCAATGCACACAATGAAGAATTTGCATGAGTACTTTTACCAATCCATCAAAGACGAGATTAGAGTTTCATGTTGGGACATTTATAAATAATAAGATATTTTCTCCCAACTAGAGAATTTTTCGCAATCACTGAGAATCGGGATTGTTAACGAATTTATATTAGACAATTAGCTCATCTCGGACTGTAAACAATCTCGATAGAAACTATGGATTTGTCTACTGTTCATATATGACTTTGCAATTATGTACAGTTCTCATTTTTATATTAATTTTATTTCCTTATTTCTCTGCTGTAGTTAATGAAACGTACATTATCTTGATTGATAATAGATTTTACAAACGCAAGATGGATGGTCGATTTTTTTCGACCTTTACATGTGTAAATATATTTTTTTATGTAACAGAATGCACACATATAAAGAATTAAAAACAAGGATTGATAGATTACATTCAAGAAATTCAAAATTATAAAAAGATACATTTTTGAATTATCAAAATTAATAAAATCGTAATAGTAATTCGGATATATTATCAAGAAATTACAGATTTAACTATTCATCGTTATAAGACTCTCATAATAGATTTGCACGCGTATTATGTTATTCGAAATGTTTGTTTTTTTATTGTTTCCATTAATACTGCATTATGTGCAACTAATGATATATACATAGATTGGAATCTGATTGATATTTATCTCACTTTAGTTATTGATAAATTTTATCATTCCTGTATTGTTATTAAATATTATAAATTTTCAATATATAATTTTTGAAAATTAGTTGTGTGCGTATCTATGTAAAATATAAATGTACAAAGGATTAAACGCGTGCCTCGCAATGTTGTATGGCATTTAAAATTCTTTTAAATATTATACTCAAATTGTTTAATAACAATATTAAATACTCTTAGCGAATCTTTCTAGTTAAACCGAAATCCGAGCTTGAAGGTATTTGCACAATCACGAAATTGCGTTTATAAAGAAAATATCTCAAATCGGAATATCGTAATCCTCACACATTGGAGGAATCTCTGCGATAATTATATTTAATGTTATATAATGTTATGCTTGTCGTCAATCGATTCTTAGAAATCGCGTAACTCCGTTGCCTTGTAAATATACCTAAGCAAGGTTCCCTTATTGCCCTACCCATGTTGAACATTTTGTAAAGTTTTATAAATAGTTCTACGTAGTTAAACACAGCTGGACCAATAAAATATATATCCGATTGTATGTGTTACGATTATTTCCGTTCTCTGTTGCCCTTCTTGGCAACTATAATATCCAAATCTTTTATATTATCACAGATGTAATGTTATTATCTATATTTAAATATTTAGACAGAGTAATTATTAATTAACAGTTAAAATATAATTTTTTTACGTAGCAATAATGCAGTATATTTAATGTTTAATGTAGTATTTAAATTAATATATATTTCAAACATTACTTCTGCTACTGAGAAATTATTTTTATACGTTTCTTTACATATTAAATCATACATTTGATATGATTGATAACTTACATACATATATACAAAGATGACTTAATTAAAAGTTACATAAAGTCAATACGAATAAAAATGAGAAATACACTGTATTTTAAATAATCCATTATTTATTGAAATTATAAGTATTTATTCCATCACAAGAATTATACTATGCGACTTGACATTATCGCGATAGAGAGATTACTTGCTCTTTCCGAAAACAATATATAAATAAGATGATATATGAGAAAAAACTTGATACATCAGTAAAAACGTCTGAGAATATCCACGTCGAGAGGAATATAATGCATGAAATCCTTAAATAATTAATATTATCATCAGATCTTTTTATCCTATACTGTAATATACGAATATGCTGCCTAGTTTCGGAATTTGCAAATACTTGAGTTGACGGTAGAGCCCGAATCGTCTCTCCGTTATATCACAAGAAAAAATTCGGCTCCGAATATAACGTGCTAGCAAGTGGAATTCTGCGTGTTTTATTCCGTAGACATATTCGTTGTATTTTCAGATTGAAAGAGAGATAATACAATGCGAAGTGCGAAGTAATATCGGAGTTGTCACATCGATCATCGATATCCTACAGAAATCACTAAACATAACTAAAAGCTAAATGGACAATTTTACATTTCTTGACACGTTACAATTTGCAGACACGTACTTTTTATTATAGTACCGAATATAATCGTGATCAAAAGAAGACAAGAAAAGAAAACGGATTCACATAAAAAATTTATAGACATTCAAAAACAGACAGATATCTGCGATCTCTGTATCTAATTGTGAGTGGACCCTTGTTTTGGGGTTGTACTTGTTGCTACATAACAATATTAATTCGATTCGTTAATTGCATAACAATATAATATCTTAAATTTGTTCGTTAATTACATTACATTTAAGTACATTCACAAGTGTGGCTCCATGTACGAACTCCCTCATCTCTTGTCGCCGATTAATAAATTTACAATAAAGTATAACACACTCGTATCTCGCAAATTTCTATCACTGCGAGAGAAGAATGTCTTCCATCACGAGATACGTAAAACTCTTTAAATATACTAATATTACTCTCCCCATATAATGTGTTGGCATTTTTATAAATATAAATAAAAAAATATGTGCTGTGTTTCATTTTTTTAAATTAGAATATTTTTGTGATTTCTCATACCAGATTTAACTTAATTCAATATATGCAATAATCAGGGCTCATAACGGTTTGTTAAAAATTAATTGATTCTCATTTCAATATAATTACAATATAATCGTAGAATTTTCTATTTTGCGTGACAGATTTTGCAAACAAAAATGTCATTAAATTTGTTTTGAATAACGAGAAACATTCTTGTCGATCCTCTCCCTCGTTTAACATAGAGATCTATACATGTATGTGCGTGCATATGTGCGTATGTCCTATATAGTAGCCAGAGACGGTTGAATTACTACAATCTGTACATGAAAAATCAGGTATCAATTGCAATTGTGCTGCAAATTATTAGATACTGTTATCTGTCTTATGCAATAATGACTTGAATAATTAAGAAATTTAAAAAATCTGAAGCATATATACAATCAAGAACATAATATCCTGAAAATTATTTTTAACGTGAAACAATGTTCAATTACAAGCCCTGATTACAAATTAGCAATCTAGAAGAGAAAAGGACGAGTTTTTTTTCTTAAACTTTAAAAGTGAGATTATTTTCTTTTCATCTCTGAGTATTGTTCTATATAAATATTTGATATAGGGATTGAAATCAGTACTTTATTCAACGATTTGAGTTTGAACTTTAATTCTCGACAAATCAGCAAAGTTTGATCCCTATGTTATTCGTGACACTGGAAATGTGACAATTGGTGTAACATTGCACTTTAGTGCGAGAAACTGAATTCAATGAAATTATACCGGTTTCAATCCTTGCTTAAATAAGACAATTGTAAATTCCATAATATTTTGTTACACATCATATGTATAATATTACACACCATGTAACAATATGTTACACACATATGCACATATATGTAACGCACTATTACATATGCATTATGCATAATATGGCGTTTGTGCAAATAATCGAACACTTACTGGACTATTGTACAGATACACGCATGTATATAGAATTAAGATACGCGGAAAGTATAAGAACATTCATTGCTCATATTTCTTCTCTCTCCTCTCTTCCTCATGTTACATCGCGCCCGAAATATAACCGAAATTGTTCTATTAGACATGTTTAATTCAATAGGCTTTCGCTACTAGGCCGTGGTTTAGTAACCAGACTATGTAAGGCTCGTATCCCGCTCTCCGTTAAATCCGGAGGCCCAAACAGAAAATCTCGTCGAGTACTCGGGTTCGACAACAGGTCCCGCATGCTCTCGGTCGTAAGCACCCAAGAGTGTAATGAGGTTTGCGTTAAATTTACTTTCCTAGCCAGTGTCCCGGTAATGTGCACGTCATCGATCCAGAAGTACGGCTCCTTCTGGGCTTCGCGGTACAATATAAATACACTATCGGGGGAGTATAAGATTGCCCATCCGGCACAATACGCGGGATAAAGTCTACCGGGATACTCCTGAGGAGAGACGCGCCACTTTGAGCGCCAGGATCTCTTCACTGTGGAAGCCGACAGAAGATCACAGAGAATCAGACGTCTTGCACCCCACGGCGAGAGGCCACGCGTTAGAAAGTCCAGCATGGCCGGTAAATGAACAAAAACGTCATCGTCTAATTTAAGAATATATTTGGCACCTGAAACAATGTGTATCAAAGTTATGTATGCATAATATATTCGTAATATATTGTATATATTAAAATAATCGATGATCGAATATCACATGTATGAATGAAATTTAGAGGAACAAGATGTTATATTTAAAGAATTATGTATTTTTTTTCAAGAGCAATTATGTATTTTTTTTTTTTTCGTTCTTGAGTTATTTTATGAATCCTAATACACAAATATATTTAAGATAAATCGATAAATATTCGATATATAAATTATAACTGAAATACGTGTGACAAATTAAATAAAATATAACCGGGCTATATAATTAAGATGAGAAAATTTCAATATCGTCTTACTTGGACAGTAATAGGTAGCCCACTTTAATCCCATAACGTGCTTGTAGGTCATGTTTCTATAGGCATCAAGAAAGTTTCCCTGTATTAAATCTTGATATTTCTTGTTCTCCTCTTCGAGCTTAGATTGATATTCCTCCGAGTATCCCACGAGAAACAATAAAGTCACGTCCGGCGCTTGTTGACCCCAGGTCTCTCGCACGACGTGTCTCTTCAGGAAATTCCCCGGCGCCGAGTGAACTAACATTAGCAGCAACGGTTGCGTGCGATTGCAGGGATTGTGGTTCATGGTGAATCTGAAGTCCGTGATGTTGATCAGCGTGGATTTATCATCGGACGGAAGTTCGTTTATCGAGTAGGGCTGCACGGAGGGCGTAACGTTTCCGGGAAATATAAGGATATATCCTGGCGCGGCCGCACCGCCGCTGGAGTAAGGGATCGGTGATCCTGAACCATCGATGTGAATCCAGAACGAGAAGCATCCAGTTAGTGCCAGAATGACCACGAAGATGAGGGTGCATGGCGACGTACCGGAAGCATGGAGCCGTCGCTTATCCAGCATACTAATAAGCCCCTTTCATCATACACGTCGGATTCTTGCTGCAAAAGTTAGACGAAAAAATGCACTCGGATTAGTCGTGGATCTCAGAATTCGTAGATTATCGCGATCTCGCGCATTCCGGAAGACGCCTCGCGTACAACTACTTTATTACTGAGACTCCATTAATCTTATAAAATACACTTTGTGTCACATATAAATAATCAAAATTTTATAAATTTATATCTTAGAGTTTAGACGAAAAAAAAAAATTCGATTTTGTAAAACATCTGTAGATACTTATATGCATAGTTTACCAAAGCTTACGAAAAACTGTGTCGAAAAATTATCGAAGAAGCGAGTGATACACGGAAAAAAGAAATTAGCTGCCGTAGCTAAAAACTGCGTGTGATAAATAGATTTCAGTCGTAATATATGGACAGCGAACATCTTAACTGTGACACCTATTTATTAGATGCAACAGCGAACATCTTAGCTGTGATACCTATTTATTAGGTACAACAGCAAACCGTTTTGCTGCAGTTTGGAAATTTATTTTGCAAACCGTGATTAGCTATGGTAGCGAAAATTTTTTTTTCCGTGTAGCTTTTTATTGTATGTATAGCACTTTGTAAAGCTGGTCAATCGTAAGCTATGTTTAAACGATCGCCAGTCCATAGACCAAGTCACGCGGACGATGATGTTCACATGCTTACTGATTCTAGATATAAAATCGGTCTTCTATCCACTCATACCGTGTACTATCGCACAGTGTTATCATGACGTGTTATAAAAATGCTGATTACGAATTAAAGATATACTCTATATATATTTTGATTAATATATATATATATATATATATATATATATATGCAATTTATTTATTCATGATTCAAACCGATAAAAAATATCAAGCATCGAAGAAAGAAAGGGTCAATTCAGAAATCGTTTTTGCAACAACGCACGAGGAAATATTGCGTATATTAATTTCTCGCGTGCATGTTCAAGGAGAAAGCGAGTTCTAAAAGTTTCATAAACAATAATAATCTTGCTCGCTTTATAACTCGAACGAAGTTGAAAGTATTAAGCGATGCCGTTTGCAAGAAATTTCTCACACAAATCAATGAGGTCAACCGCGCATACCAGGTATGATATATGACAAGCTTTCAACACCAAGATAAAACTCTAGGCTGATAATGATTCTATTCTGTCTGATTCTATGATTCCATCGGTAAAAAAAAAAACGGATATTTTCCTTGCTATGTAGTAAATGAGAATCGATCAAAAGCTAACGATTACATAGGCGCATAAAATCAGCATTCGTATATGTAGATAATAAGATCACTAATTACCATTTACATGCTACTTACGGTAGATAACGATATGAAATGTCTATTGATACACAATGTCTGCAGATACACTTGCAAGACTTTAGATTTACAAATGCCACGATAGCTGATAATAAAAATAAATCGCGATAAATTGGAATACAACAAAAATTATTTATGGTCATCAAAAACAATTTAATTTACATTTTATTTACAAGAGAAATAAAATTAATTGAGAAAATATTGAGAGAAAATATTTTTTGTCTCTGTGATAACCAAATTTTTTTATTATTTTTCACGTTCAAATGGTAAAATATTTCGCTAAATTATATTACGCGAGTCGAATGAAAAATTCAAATGTTTATAAAAATATAACATTTACATATAACGTTTAGAAATATTTTTGCGATAATGTTGCTTGATAATACACAACTGCCGCATACAGATAATTTTATACGAAAACCAACAAAAAGTTTTTTTTTTAACGTATTCAACATAACAATGTCTAAATTGTCTGGAGAATTCAAGGTAGCATTATTATTCGGAATTTAAAGTAGCGATAGATAGTCTTATCGCTTTACATTATTCACTGAAATATATATCACATATGATAATTCTCATATTAAAAATTTAAATCGCAAAAGTTTTCATTATTTTATTCGATCGCATCAAAGAATTTATGCGTATCTATTTTTATATCACGTTATTGATGATTTGCTGATTTTCTCAACAAAAAAAAATCACTTTCAATGACAGGAGTGTATATATAAAACGGCTTTAAATTCAGTACTTTAAGAGTCAACGAGAATGATAGGAATATATTATATGAGTCGAAAGATTATAATTATTTTTATATAATAGCTTGACGATAAGCGCGCAACTGTGAGTTGTGACAAGTAACGTACTTTATGCTGCCACTATAATTACCAAGAACGCAAGATGGGAGAGAGGGAGTGGCAAGCAACTATATATTTTTCAGTCATACGTCAAGGTCGTGAGAAGTTCACGAACGAATAGCAATGGTTGGTTAACACGTAATGAATTCGTTCTTTAATATTGGCTCTAGACTGATATCTATAACATTAGTGGCGCGTGTCATTAAAAAGCTATTTAATTTACGTTAAACGATCGAACATTAACTTAACTTGGTACATTAATTTCAGATTAATAAACACGTGTCATTTGTGCCACAATCAATGAATTGTATGAATACATCCTAAGGTATCTATATACATATTTCTAACACTCTCCGTCTTCTCACATATGCGAAGCTAAATTCAAATATTAAGACGGAACGTATGTAAAATGCTAACATCCGAGATAGGTAGATAACATCGGTCAATACCGTTCGCTGCGTTCTTATATTCTCTTTTATGATAGAGCATAGCTATTCGCACTTTTATAGATATTTTTTTTTTGCAAGATTCGTGTGATCTCTTTTTTTTCAGAATATACAAGAAATGAAAAAAATTTAGTATCTCTTCAATACATGATAAATATATATATATATAAATGCAATAAAATAAATTAAATAATTATCTTATTTTTTATTATCTATTGATTCTGTTCTACTGATTCAATTTAAATCAATAAAACCATATAGAGAGCGAGATAATGCGATGCAGATTTATGTTATTTAATATACTGATATATCAATTTCCATGATCGGTTTCTCATAAATGAAAATTTTCATTGTCGATGGTATACAGGGTGTTAAAAAAAAACCATTCAATATTTATATGATAGATAGGACACACCATATTGAGTAAAAAAAACCTTAGTAAACATAGATCGAAAGCTCAACCGTTTCTGAGATATAAAAATTTTTGTATGTTAGCATCATGATTGACTTACTGGCTTCCACGTGTCGCATGCGACGAAGATAATCTGTCTAATTCTTTATCTCGATATTTATAGAAAATGTTCCACTTTATTAGAGTAATACGCTGATTTCATTTTCAGCACGATACTTTGTAACTGTGTAATCACCAAATAGATCCGCAATCACCGGTTGATGACAACTGACTGATTGCCCATGAAATCTTCTGTTATGAAGTATGTATGGAAATTGAATGAGGACATTCAGAACGTGGTTTATGAACACTGAGGTAAACATCGCATGCGACACGTAGAAGCCAGTAGTCAATCATGATGCTAACATACAAAAATGTTTATATTTCAGAAATGATTGAGCTTTCGACGTACTGTTTACTAAGGTTCTTTTATTCAGTATAGTGTCCTATCTACTATATAAATATTGAATGTTTTTTTTTAACACCCTGTATATTCATTGTCGGAAAGTGCTAAATTATAAAAATACCAATCGTAATCAATCATGATTGCAATAACGTGATTTTGAAATAATTTCATCTTCCTGCCTCGATATGATTTACAAATATCAGCGAATGATTAAGCACTCTTTTAATTAATTCGAAAATGCGTTATTCGAATCAGTACAATCAATTCATTCTTTAATATTTTATAGAATAGAAGAAGCGAGTGTTTATATTTCAGAAATGATTGAGCTTTCGACGTACTGTTTACTAAGGTTCTTTTATTCAGTATAGTGTCCTATCTACTATATAAATATTGAATGTTTTTTTTTAACACCCTGTATATTCATTGTCGGAAAGTGCTAAATTATAAAAATACCAATCGTAATCAATCATGGTTGCAATAACGTGATTTTGAAATAATTTCATCTTCCTGCCTCGATATGATTTACAAATATCAGCGAATGATTAAACACTCTTTTAATTAATTCGAAAATACCGCGTTATTCGAATCAGTACAATCAATTCATTCTTTAATATTTTATAGAATAGAAGAAGCGAGTTCGCGTAATTCGAAGGTTTCAATGCGAAATGATCGGAGGAACAATGCTAATTTTCGTGCCCTATCATTGGTACAATTGTGTGAACGTGTCGTAATCAAGAGTCGCAGCAATTTTCGCGGGTCTAAAATTTAATCAGGAACTGAGAATCGAGTGTACAATGTTGAGTTACAATCGCCAAAGGATTTTACTGTAATACAACTATTCGCATCGTCATAGTGCACGGAATGCTGTGCATACAAGGGTCGATTGCTTTGACCCTTGAATCATCGGTTTTCAAGATTGACATTATCGATCCGGAGACTTCATCATGCACTGTAACGCATGTTAGACCAATATTAACATTTGAAAATCGAACTGAGGCATTGTTATGAAATTTCATCGCGTAAAATCAAAAATGTAAAAAAATATTCTATAAAAGTACCCAAGCCTGAGAATCATTAATTCATAAAAATAAAAACACTTGCCCGAATACTTTTTTCGTGCATCTTATAAACTGTATATTAACTCTTAATTTTAGTTAATGAGATCGCTAATCGATTAACGTCCAAAAATAATATTTTGTATCCAAAGTACTTTAACAAATAATTTTCTCGATGAAAAGTATCTTCTTTTTTGTGTGATTTTATCTTATTTTTTCTGATTATATACTTCCAGAGAGATCAGAATAAAAAATAAAATTTTTGATCGTAAGCAACACGTGAGAAAAATTAACTTGCACTAAAATGATGTTATCTTAGATCTTAGACGATAAGAAAATGAAATACTGACAAGATTAAAAAATTTTACAATACAAATGAGTATCTAATGAATTATCTAAACTAAACCTCGGAGAAACTTAACTTCTCTTTCAATTTATTTTATATATTATTACTTTACATTTACTGTTTGCAATATATAT